CAAGCAGTCATACAGTGGGTAAGACGTGTCCTGCACTGTTCTCACCTTGCAAAAACCCATTTCATCTCCACAACTACTTTAGGAGTTAGGAGCTACTGCTGGACTCGTCTCACAAACCAGCAGACCAAAGAACAGAGGTCAAGCAACCTATTCACACAACACAGGACTAAGACTGTATGATCATGGCTAAGCAATCTATCCAAAGTCACATACCTAGGAGATGGCAGAAGCAGTTGGACCCTGGCACCCTGACTTGAAAGTCTGTATGCTTATCAGTCACTGGACTGCTTTTTAAAATGGGAACGGGGTCCTGTTGGCTGAGTACTGACTTGTACAACCCATTCCTGCCTTACTCAGAATTCAAGGGAGGTTTTTTTTTTTTTTTTTTTGTCTAGATGGAGTCTTGCTGTGTAGCCAGCTAAAGCAAAAAATTTTAAACATTTATTTATTGTGTGTGAATATGTGGGTGTGCATGTGCCATGGAGCCCATGTGGAACTCAAAAGACAACTTGTAGGAGTTCTTTCTTTTCACATGAAGATCCCAGGGATCAAACCCAGGTCTTCAGGCTTGGCAGTAAGTGCCTTTACCAGATGAGCCATGTCTCTGACCCCAGTAAATTTTTTCTTTTAATATTTATTATTATTATTAATTTATGTATATGTTTTGCCTGCATATATGTTAGTGCATCTGTGTTGTGCAATGCCCAATGAAGTCAGAAGAGGATGTCGGATCCCCTGGAAAGTTGTTAGCTGTTATGTGGGTGCTGGGAACTGAACCTGGGTCCTCTGCAAGAGCAGCCAGTGCTCTTAACTGCTGAGCCATCTCTCCAGCCTCCCCAATAAATTCTTAGGTACTGACTACTTGCTACGTGCTCTTCTATGTTCTCTTTATTAAAGAAACTACAAGAGACTGAACACATTTGGACTTATTTTGACAGCTCCCAAAAAAGTATTTTAAAAGTCAAGTCTTCACCAAGGTTAGTAGTGGCACATGTCTTTAATCCCAACACTAGGGAGGCAGAGGCAGATGGATCTGAGTTTGAAGCCAGCCTGGTCTACATAGCGAGTTCCATGCCAGCCAGGGCTATGTAAGAGATCCTGTCCTGTCTAAACAAACAAGCCCACAAAACAACCAATATCCCCCCTAAAACTCCCAAAGTTGGGAAAACAACAGAACCATTTGTTTATTTGAAGTTTTTGACTCCCTGGAGTCTATATAACTGAGTGTTTTCTGGTTATTTGAGGTCACTTCCAAAAACATCAGATATGAATCAAGATAAAGAGGAAAATGTAAACCAATTTTGCTCAGAGCTTGAGCTTCCCATCGACACTCTCCTGACATTCTTTTGTCTCTGGCAACAATCAAATTTACCACCAGATCACCCCAAGTATCTCAGTAATGGGTTGTAATCCTGGGGGCAAGATTTCTCTTCATTAACTGGCCAAACTCTGAGAGTAGCCAGTTGTGACATCTTGCCTTGGCAGATAATAGGCTACTTTTCTTTTTTTGTTTGTTTTTTGAGACAGGGTTTCACTATTTAACCCTGGCTGGCCTGCAACTCATTATGTAAACCAGGCTAGCCTCAAACTTACAGAGTCCACCTGCCTCTGCCTCTGGAGAGCTGGGATTAAAAGGTGCCATTATGCTGGGTGATAGGCTACTTTTCCATTTTTTTTAAAAAAGATCACCTAGGAGAGATTGAGGACAGTAAGGAGGGGATGAGCCAGAGACAGGAAGGGGACGGGGACTAGAAATGTAGGCAGGGTGAGGAGGGAGTGGGGCCCTCGCAAGTCCTGAGTTCTCCAAGGGTGGAATCCACATGCAGGCTGTGTTAGAACTTGATACTGTTGTAAGAATTTCAGTGCAGTCCCAGGAATGGTGCCACAGTTATGTGCCTGTGATGCCACCAGAGTAGACAAGTGGGAGAGCGGGTGAGGACAGGAGGTGAAAAAGCTGGGCAGGGCCAAATAGCAGAGTGGGTTTCCTGGAAAGCCAGGACTCTAAGTGCTTTAGATTCCAGCTCAAGGGATAGAGTCCAGGCTGTGCCCAGTGTAGCACCTCTGCCCACATCCCATGCCTTTTGGAGTTGGGGAAACCTCCCAGAAATTGCTTTGTTTAGAGACCCTGTCCCCCATTCCTCACTATACTTCTCCCTCCTCCTCCCTGTATCTGTCCAATGTTTAGAGTTGTGTGAAGCGGAAGACAATTTGGGGCTTATTAGTATCCCAGGGAGACATATAACTTGTGTTGCTGGGACCCAAACAGCAAGAGTCTTAGCAGCAAACTCCAGCCGAGAAAAGGCTGAGGGATTGTCTCACCTAATTACAGAGAATGGCCCTCTTTCTGTTTGTGATTCGGTACGGTTGTCCGATCGCTTTTGATCGCTTTGCTCTATTTGCTGGCTCAGGCCATGCTAAAATTGTGCTAATTAGAAGAGAAATGGACAGAGTGATCCTGTCAGCCCTGGTTACTGGTGGGGACAAAGCACAATATTATTCTGAGGCAATGTTTTGTAAGAGCCCTTCTCCCAGCTCTCATTAGGAGGAAGGGGCCCCCCAGAGGGGGAAGTTCTGAATGCCTGGCATGGCTAATGGAGCATCAGGGTGGTCCTGTATTGATCAACAGGCTCTGCCAGCACTCGTGCCAGCCCAGGGCTACAGCTGCACCTGGTGCCACCTGAAGCCCAAAACTGCCCCTGGTCTAAAAGAAAAAGTACCAGACAAAAAGTGTGAGCACAAAGTGCTTTTCAGGCACAAAGACACACTACCAAAGGGGTAGAGATTCTATCTAAAGAGACATAAAAACCCAGTTACAGGCCAGTCAGAACTTACAATTGAACTTGGAGACACCTCTGCTTGCCCACTCCCTGGACTTTGGAGGTCTGGTGGTCTTGGATCTCTCAAAGGATGATAAAAACAACATGAAGAGCATAACCTAATACTTGGAGATGGAGGTAAACCAAGTTTAAGCTAGTAGGAGCCGCCTGGGATCATCTACCTTGGCTCGCCTGCCCATTTCCTAACCTACTTTTTTCACTTTTCTGTGATGCCTTAATCCTGGGGGATACAGAAAAGATGGGAGCAACCTCCTGGAAAAGAAATTTCTTGTCTTCATTACAAAGCACTTGTGGAAGCCCAAGCACCATCTGAAGCTGCCGGGACAATGGAATGGCTTTCATTTGTTCCCTTTTCACTGATCAGATCGGAGCAAATCCATAAGAACTACAACAAAAAGAAGCTTGAGAATCAATACCAAACAGTTAACAAATGTCTACTCATAATAAGGGGGTGGGGGGAGATACTGGAGAGATGGCTCATTGGTTAAGAGCACTGGCTGCTCTCTGCAGAGGCCCCAGGTTCAGTTCCTAGCATCCATATGGTAGCTAACAACCATCCCTAAGTCCAGTTCCAGGGGATCCAATACCCTCTTCTGGACTCCATGGGCACTACATGGCACAGATGCCCTTAGTTATATGTAGGCAAAACATACATATACATACAATAAAATACATTTGGGCTGGAGAGATGGGTCAGTGGTTAAGAGTACTGGCTGTTCTTGCAGAGGACCTGGGTTCAGTTCCCAGCACTCACATGGCAGCTGACAACCATCCGTAACTCCAGTTCCAGGGGATCCTACAACCTCTTTTGACCTCCGAGGGTACTGCAAGACACAGGTGCACTTATACACATTTGGGCAATATACTCACACACATAAAATAAAAAATAAACAGGAGCTGGGCATGGTGGTGCACGCCTTTGATCCCAGCACTCAGGAGGCAGAGGCAGGCAGATCTCTGTGAGTTCGAGGCCACCCTGGTCTACAAAGTAAGTTCTAGGCCAGTTGGGGCTACAGGGAGACCCTGTCTCAAAAAAAATAAAAAAAATAAAAAAATAAATAAATAAATTTAAAAAATGATAAGAGCTCAAGAGATGGCTCAGCAGTTAACAGCACTTGCTGCTCAGAGGACCAAGTTTGGTTTCTAGCACTCACAATGGACAGCTCACAACTGCCTCTAACTCCAGCTCCAGGGAATCAGACACTCTTTTCTGACCTCTGCAGGTACCTGTATACATGAGCACATACACATATACACACATGCACACATGTGAAAATAAAAAAATAATAAAATTATTATATTTTGTATGATAAGGATAAACTAAGGAGGGTGCTTTGATGTTAACAAAATTAGTATCCTATGACTGTTTAGTGAGCTAGCTAGCAATTTGCTTTCCTTACAATGGAATGCTTTTCTCCAGAAGGACATACTCTTCTGACAGCTCTTGCTGGACCATCAATGGATGACAATGGTGGCACTAATTAGTACTTCCTCTTCTCTAGGTCTTGAACAGAGTTGAAAGGGAATTCATACCAAAGCAGACAGCTTTTGAATTTCTAGTTCAAAGAAGACACAGAAGTACACATGGGGGATAGATATAACATTGGGGAAGCTATGACTTTGAAGGGCAATAAGATCTGGCTCAGCAGGTAAAGGCCCTTGCTGCCAAGTCTGAAGATCTGTGTTTGTTCCCTGGTACCCACATGATGGAGTGAACCAACTCCTATTAAGTTGTCCTCTGACCTCCACATGCATGCTGTTGCACATGCTTGCAGAATGGCACACTTAAATGCCACAGGAATGATGGGGGAAGGATTGCTTCTAGTGGGGTAATCAAGGGCTTATAGGAAAAACCGGTATGATGGGTGCAATTCTGAGAATTCAATGGCCTGGACAAGTGAGGAATTCAGAAACTGTTCAGCGTAGCTGGAAGAGAGATTTTATATATAGAAGAAGGAAGCCAAACTGGATGGTCATTTAGGTTGTAGTCTAAAATGACAGGAAGAGATCCAGACTTATTAGTAGACATAAAGTGGCACCAAAGACTTCCAAATGTACCTACCTATCAGGACAGGGAGTTTAGCAGTAACAAGCAGGATGACTGGTAGGAGAGGGGCTACCTGTAAATATACAACTTGGCCCTTTAAAAGGAAAAACTCATCCTCCTATACAAGGGACACATTTATTATGAACACACAGAAAACATACACAAAGTACAATCCTTTAACGTCCTAAAATATACATACTATACATAAATTTATATTATCAATATAAAAATACATCATTAATATTTCTAAGGATGACAAATACAAACCCAATAAATATTGCAATTCTTAAACATCTACTTACATTAAGTGCTGGTGAACAGGATGACAGTAAAAGAAGGAGGCCACAGCAGATCAGAAAACCAACTAGTGGCTTCCCATTGAAGACTGGGTTGGTGTAGGGGAGATAGCTCAGTATTCTCCACACATTTTTCAATTTCTTCAAACACAAAAGTGCCTGAAGTCATAAACTCCCAAACACAGAGTGAAGCAAAAACCCTGACATTATGGCACTATTTCTGACCACTTGCACACACTCGCTTTAACCGTACTTAGTGAGACTAAGAAATATCAAACGTAGGCTTAACTTAAAATCAGCCTCTGCAGCCAGCCCCTCTGGGGAGTACCCCAGCAGACTCCTCTCTTCTCAGATCATCTTTTGTATTTCGTGCTCCATTGTTTTATTCTTTTCAAAGAGTTAAATTGTGTTGATGATCAAATGACATAAATGAGGGGAAAATATATCAATTCTAATTCTAGCGTTGGAAACAGGTACAAATATCAGAAAATGGTCAAAAGACCAGTTGTCAAACTGAGGACTGGTGTGTCCTAAGTGATACTCAAGACCACAAACTTGACCATAACTCTTCTTGCATCCAAACTCTATTGGACTACTGCCACAGAGTTATTCTTTCTATAAAGTTTAGGGGACTCTCTGTACTTGTCAAAATGTGAAAGACTATGTCTAATAGAATATGTCTATTTTTACCCATGGCCCAAACTTTCAGATTTTAGCACAGATACATTCAACTAGCAAAGAACTCCATGAGAGTTGTATTTAAGACAGGGAATTCTTGTGTGTACGTTTCTGTCAAGTAGGTGAAGTATCTGATATGTGTGCTCTGAGGGAAAAGGGGGACAACATACTGTTACCATCTGATAGCACACACTAAGTCACTTAGGGCTTCTAGTTCTCAGTCAAATGAAAACTCTCATAAACTGTGCTATCAGGCCATACTTATTCTTTCACTTATGTAACAGATTAACTAGAACTCAGAAGTCTTTTTTGTTATCTTCATATTGGACTTGAGGTCCAGAACACAAGGTGGCATAGCATGTACCTTTCTCTCTACAAGCCAGTCCCAGGAGGCAGCCACTTGCCTAGAGTTAAACCTGCAAGGTGGGGCTGGGAAGCAGGGAACAGATGCCATTAAGGATGAAGAGTATCATGAGGGGTGCAAAATTTAAAAAGCAGATGCACATTTCAAGAAGATTCTGTTACTCCAGCATGGGAGTCCTGGCATCCATTGTATCCTAGAGAGTTCAAAGATCAAGATGCAGTCTGGTTCAGAATTTAGTTGGTCTCTGATCTCTTCATCCTGAAGTACAACTCAACACAAACCAGTCAATCAACATGTCACAATTGATCTGCCAGTACAGAATCAAAGCAACTCGAAGATCCTGGGGCTCCCAAACCACTTGTGGAAATGAGAAAGCACAACTTTGAGCTTTCGGAATGACAAAACCTCTGGTGTTACTGACATACAGGCCTGTGATGCTGACTTAGTAAATGGCAATGATCCTTGGGTAGGGAATTGTCTTCTCTTGCTACCAAATGTCTTCAGAGGTGCACAGTGCTAGGAGCAGGAGAGAAGGATGGTCCTGGAAGTTCAGCCTCTGGTCTCTTCCCAGAAAGCATGAGGTGTGCATTGTTAGAGCTGCACAGGGTGGGAACTTGGTTACAGTCTTCAGGACACCTGGACACAAGTAGCTGTTACTTCTTGGGCTTCTCTAGAATGTTGAGGAACTTCCCCCTTGTCATCTCTCTGGCTGGAATCAGAAAGTAAACAACATATCAATGAAAACCTAAAAAGGGATCATAGGAACTTAAAAACTCAGCTTGAGGGCTGGTGAGATGGCTCAGGAAAAAGTACTTGCCCAAGTCTGACAATCTGAGTTTGGTCCCCATTCATATGGTGGAACAAGAGAACCAACTCCCCCATTTTCCTCCGACCTCCACACATAAACTATGGTGTGCACCACCCCCATCAATGAAAAATGTTAATATAAAAAAAGCACAGAGTGTTTTAAACTGTATACCAAATTGCTACCACAACAGACTCAATCATTCCTAACTTCTAAAAGGGAGGAAAACAAACCACTATTGATAACTAAAATTGGATGGTGATTCTGAAGTTGGCAAATGTATAAGGTACAGGTCAACTGGGGAAGATTACCAGCCATCCTTACAAAAAATCACCAGGGGGGCTGGAGAGATGGCTCAGCAGTTAAGAGCACTGGCTGCTCTTCTGCAGACTCTAATACTCATGTTCTCTATTTCATGGGGTTTGTTCTTAGAGGCTAGAATCTAACCAAGATTAGAGTCTTCTTTGGACCGTGGATCTCTGCACATTTATAATTTCAAATCAAGATCAGTGCTCATGTACCGCATCTCGCAGCAGTGGGAGGCCCTGTGCACTGTAATATAACAGGGTTTATATTCCCTCAGAGCAGTTCATCTGGGGATGGTGTAATAAAGCAGGGTTTATAGAGCTTTGGTCTTCTCTCTCTTGGCATTGTCAGTCCGTAGGTATTTAATATAGCCAGGCAAGGTTTATGTGTCTTTCTCTGACTTTCAGCACCATCAATCTTTGAATGTGTAGTTACTAGTAGGTTTATTCAGCTACTTTCCTATATATAAGGCTCCAAAGTGAAAGCAAAACATTCCCCAATTACAAGGGGCACTCCAGAGACCCCATTTTAGTTCTGTCAAGTGGATTATCAATGAGCATATGCAGCATACCACCCCATTCATCATCATTCCAAAAGGTCATCTTTTTAGATCTCTTTAATGGATTTAACAGTTCTGAAAGTCTTTGATGGCTGCACTGGAAAGCAAGAAGTCTTCTGGAACCATGCAGCATACACAGTGTAGGTGGTATCCTATGGCATCACAAGAACACTGTGTCCATCTTGACCAAAGAAAGGAAGTGGCTAGGGAGGCACCTGAAGCAATCAGGAGGATGCTTGCTCCAGCCTTCTTGGTGCCTTTCCCTAGTCTAGACCAAATGACACAAGATAAATGGGTTCTCACTCTCCTCCATCCCAATCTAAGTTTCACAGTTTCTTGTTTGCCCCACCAGGTGGTGAAGGCCTGTAATCCCAGCTATTTGGGAGGTTGAGGCAGAAGGATTGAAAGTTCAAGTTCAGACTAGATAACTTAATAAGATCCTGTCTTTTTTTTTTTTTTTTTTTTTTTTGTCTTTTTGAGACAGGGACTCCCTGTAGCCCCAGCTGACCTGGAACTCACTATGTAGACCAGGCTGGCCTTGAACTCACAGAGGTTCGCCTGCCTCTGCCTCCCAAGTGCTGGGATTAAAGGTGTACACCACCATGTCCGGCTAAGATCCTGTCTTAAAACAAAGGCCTGGAGGTGTAACCTAGTTGGTGAAGTACTGGCCTAGCATGTAACAGGCTCAAGGTTCAATCTCCAGTACCAAAAAAAGCAATTCTTCTACCCCAATTCCTTATATGGACAATGAGGATAAGACAATCCCAGGGAGGCTTCTGGTATCTTCAGTCTATACACTCACCTCCTTTCATTAGTTCCTAAGCTCCATCAAAGGGGAAGAAATTTCATCACAAGCTATGTAAGTTCAGTGCTAGGTCTTGCCTCAGTGTTCCTAATCCTACCCAGACCCTTTCTTGGTGAATTTACACCAAATTTTGTACATTTAAAGTTTCCATAAGACTCAGACATAATTCCTTGTTTGTGTACTTGTCTTCCTCCACTATATTAGAACTGAGGGCAGAGGCTGTTTAGTCCTAGGTCTATTGAATAAATTCTGGTTGTATAAATTACACACACTCATGAACAAGAACCAAGTAGGAACACTTGATAAATGCTAGTTTTCTTCTTTTACACAACCAAGACCAGTTAGTGGCTCGTCAGTGTTCCAGTCTCTAAAGTATTATTTTATCTAGCAAGAAAAAGTAATTCCCAGGGGCTGAAGAGATGGCTCAGCAGTTAATAACACTAGTTTTTCTTGCAGAAGACGCAGGTTCAAATCCCAGCACTCACATGCCAGCTAACAACTGTCCTAACTCCAGTTCCAGGGGATCTAACAGCCTCTTCTGTCCTCCACTGGCATTGCACGACACGGGTGCACCTACATGCAGGCAATACATGCATATACATAAAATAAAAATAATAAAATATTAAAAAGAAAAAGTAATTCCCTAAAAAAAACTTTTCTTGAGACAAGTTTCTCTATGTAGCTGAGCCTGGCCTAGAACTCACTATGTAGCCCAGGCTGGCCTTGAACTCACAGAGATCCGCCTGCCTCTGTATGCCGAGTGCTGAGATTAAAGTTGTGTGCTATCATACCTGTGTGTATAAAGGATAGTAAGAGCTGGGCCTGTGGCACACACCTTTAATCCCAGCACTTAGGAGGCAAGAGGCAGGCAGATCTCTGTGAGTTCAAGGTCAGCCTGGTCTACAGAGTGAAGACAAAAAAAAAAAAAAGTGGCATTAAGTATTGTCATAAATGAGTATAAATTTTTAAAACTTTATTATTGATTGTGTGTGTGCATGATGTTGGGGGAGAAGGGAGGCGTGCCACAATATACATGTGGAGGTCAGAGAACAATTTGTGGGAGTCAGTTTTCATCTTCCACCGTGGGTTTTGGGGCTCAAATTCAGACTGTCAGGCTTGGCAGCAAGTTCCCAGCTGAGCCATTTGAAGTACTGAAGTAATGCCAAATTAATAGAGATTAGGGGTCAAGGAATAACTACTCTGGGGAAAATTCAGTCAACTACTTTTCCATGAGGCGGAAGCAAGAACTTCAATTTGTGGGAGTCAGTTTTCATCTTCCACCGTGGGTTTTGGGGCTCAAATTCAGACTGTCAGGCTTGGCAGCAAGTTCCCAGCTGAGCCATTTGAAGTACTGAAGTAATGCCAAATTAATAGAGATTAGGGGTCAAGGAATAACTACTCTGGGGAAAATTCAGTCAACTACTTTTCCATGAGGCGGAAGCAAGAACTTCTTACAGAGAAGACAGGATTTGGGGCTGGGCTGCAGCTTAGTTAATAGAGTGCTTGCCTAGCACTGCATAAACTGGGCATAGTGGCATATGCCTGAATTCACAGCACTCAGAAGCTAGAGACAGGGGGATCAGATCTTCAACTTCATACACAACTATAAAGCAAGTTTGAGGCCAGTTGGACTACATGAAAAAATAAAACTCAGGTACTGGAGAGATGGCTCAGAGGTTAAGAGTACTTACTGACTGCTCTTGCAGAAGACCCAGGTTTGATTCCCAGCACCCACATGGTGGCTAACAACTGTTTGTAACTCCAGTTCCAGGGGATCCGACACCCTCTTCTGACCTCTGTGGGCACTACATGACAAGGGTACTCTTACATACATGCAGGCATACACCCATACACTGAAATAGAATTAATAAATACTTAAAAAGATTTCTATCCTCCCCCCACAAAAAATAAAAAAGGAAAAAAGAAAAATCAAAGAGAATACAGGATTTGAGCTCAGTTCCAACTGAAGCATTTAGTTGCTGGGTGGCCCTTGGACTGGACAAGATCTCTAAGCCTCACCTTCTTTACCTGTAAAATAGGTAGCATGTGAGGCTTGCCTTGCCATACTTTTCTCTTGTATTAGCAATAAGCACCCTTGGTATAGTGGCAATCAACACAGAGATGGATAAGTGAGTAGTTTTCTATCCCTCGATATTCTCTGAGTGAATGAACAAATGAAGAATGATGTGGGATTCAGCAATCTTAAAAACTCTATCAACTATTCTCTTTACCCTCTGCCTAATCCTTTACATATTTATTTATACTTTTGGGTAGAGTGGCTAGATGGATTAACTGCCTACTTTTGAGTCTTGGGTGTGCTCTGATTTCTTTTCTTTTTTTTTGTGCTCTGATTTCTTTGGTAATTTCTGCCTGTTGTCATTCCGACCTCCCAATTCCTTACTGTTTTTTTTTTCCCCCCTCTCCCAAACTGAAAGAATGCCTTGGAATATTTTAAGACTTAGGATTTAAGGACTCAAATATTTGAGGGCTCAAAAGAGTTTAAATAAGCAGGGATTCTGAAGTCTCTTAGTGGTAAGTTCTCCTTGAATTCAACCAATCCTTTTTAACAACCCCCTTTCTACTCAATCATTCCTCCCCCTTCGACCTAATCCAAGTATACAGAGCTGCAGGAAACCACCATAAAAGAAGTAATTCAAAAGACATCATTTTCTACATGGGAGGGGAGAAAGTTTCCCTTCTTGCCAGTCCCATATAGGAGATATACGAATGTATGACATAGCCGCTCCCTAAAAGAGGGCTGTGCCCTATAAATCAGATCTTAAGCACCAACCCCTTTTTGTGCACAGTGAAATTGCTATGGGTCAGGGTCTGCTCCAGAGCAAGTGCCCTCCTGTTCACTTATCATCAGGAATGTTAACACTTCTGATTAATTCATATAGCCCTTATTTTATTCCTCATTTCTTTATCCTTGCTTTCCTGCTCTGCTGCAGTGTAAAGATTCTTACCCAACCTGCTCTAGTAATCACTGCCTGCAAACTGCACCCCTCAAACCTAGTGAAATTGTTTAGTGATGCCAACCGCACTTTTAATCTGCAAGACATCAGACACAGAGGTAATTTATACCAACATCTGTTCATTTTTGACTTCTGAAACAAACACACATGCTGCTACAAAATCCTATTGGGAGTAGGGAGACAGCCTTCTGCTACTGTTCTGCATTCCTCATCTACACACACACACACACACACACACACACACACACACACACACACA